TTTTTTTTGTAATCATGAATTGAAAATTAAAGTGTCAACATATTAACACATACTGTTCATTCACTGGGAAATCTACGCTCAGTAAAGGAACATGCCTGTTCCCTCACTGGTTAGAAGTTGTTTTTCGTATTTTTAACATACTTTTGATGCGGAACATCACTAAAGGTACAAGAAAATTAAAGTTTATCTTTTATTTTCATTGACTTAGAAAAAAAACCAGTAAAGGAACACTTGTTCCTTTACTGGTTTTTCATCGCTTGGTGACCCAGTGAATAAACACCCCCTTATCTCAGTACTTTATTATGCTATGATGCTTAAAAATAAATAAAACGTAACTTCAATAAATATATTTTGAAGTCTCTTTTTCGCAGTGAGAAAAATAAAGCTATTGCATGCAATTAATTCCACTTCAAACATATAAATACAAACACTCATCTTATAGTTTTTTCAAAGAAACAAGGTGTTGCAGAGATAATAGCAAATTCAAAAATTTTTCCAGAGAAGTCTATTTGACCAGGTAATCCAAAACATTGCTAGATGACTTCCTATTGTTTGGGAGTAAGCTATTGTTGCCAATCAATCTAAAGAAAAACTTTCAAATTCTTATTTTTAATCAATATATATGAAATGTTCCTTCACTAGTTGGTTTACCCTATTTAAATTAAAAATAAATTAGTAAATTAATTTTTTAATTTTGATAGAAAAAAAATTATTAAGGTAAACAAACTTCTATTTAAGTTAAGGTAGTATAAATTTCTTTATTACATAATAAGTTAATGCAATTAGCGTAATAGTTTGTTTCCTTTTTTTCTCCTTCCTATTAATTATATATGGGTGAAATACGTTGGTTGTCTGACGTCACAAATCATTATCAACAATTTTCTATGCATAAAACAACGGTAATTCTAATATCTTCTCAAACAAAATATTGTATATAATCTTAATATTTTTATTAATAGATGGCATCATCATAAATCAAAAGTATTCTTTTAACTAACAATTCATAAAGCAATAACTGTAAACTGATTTATAAAAATACTATAAGAATCAAAAATTGCGAGAAGACCTTGTTTGATAGTATTAACACTAGAAAGACGGAAACTTAGTATATACCTATATTGCCCGAAAGCAGTCAAAATGACTGCATTGTGAAAGAATAACTATTATGTAAAGAAATTTGCTTTAAATTAATTTTTAATATTATTTACAGTCATACAGCAAGTTATTAATAAGTATTTACAAAAAAAAAACTTACTTCACTCGGAAAAAAATAATTTATTCATTATTTGAACATTTTAAGCAAATGAAAGTGGAAATCCGCAAACATACTTTTGACATTTTTCACACATATTATTTGTTTTGTTTTTGTGGCAAAGTCGTACTTGACAAATTTTGCGTTTGTTCGAATATGTTGTATTTGATGATGTTGCAGTTGATCTTTGTGGGTCTCCATGTTCTGATGAATTTTTCTGTCTTGTAGCTCTGTAATCGGTGGAAAGCTGTTCTGCTAATTGAAACAAGAACTGTTTTCGTTGCATTTGTATTCCTGTCACTTCCTTGTTAAGGATCCAAGCATTTATAGCAGCTAAATCTAAAATATTGAAAAATATTTGGAGGGTCCATCTACGAGAACTAGATTTTACTGTATATTTTCTGCCCATTTGATCCGTCATATCAACTCCAAATTTTGTTTTGTTATAAAATTGAATAGAGTCCGGTAACATTTTTTTATTACTTTTGTCAATTTTCACAAATTTATGCCTGGAACTTAGAACAGCTACTCTCTTATTCGGTTTGCTTTTATATATTGTAAGGACACAATTTTGTGATTTATATAGGAGAGTCGAAAAACGAGGCATGCTATCCTTCGTTTGTTTGGCTGCTTTGGGTAGTTCTCTTTTATTTCCTCTAATAGTTCCAACAAGTGTTGTTTTTTTGGCCAATAATTTCGTCGCGAGTGACATGCTAGTGAAAATGTTATCGGTCGTGATATTCCTTCCGCAGCTTGTGTATGGCTCGACAAGTTTCAGAACAACGTGCTCACTGAGAAGCATTGACGATGGTCGTTGTTCATCTTTCCCCAAGTAAGGAAAACCATTCAAAACGTACTTGCTACTAACATCTGATGCAAGCCAGAATTTGATGCCAAATTTATTGGGTTTATTAGGCATATACTGTATAATCTTGCACCTGGCTTTTGTCGGAAATAATTGCTCGTCAACTGTTATATTTTGCCCTGGTTGATAGCAAGATTGACTATTTTCAGTGAATTTGTCCCATATTTCCGAAACCAAGGCAAATTTATTTGTTTGGAGACGTTTACTTCTTTCGCTTTTTTTGTCAAAACGAATAAATCGTAGGATTTGCTTGAACTTATCTCTGGTCATAGTTCTTCTAAAAAATTCGGGACCCCACTTTGCTGGCCATAAATAACTCAGTTTTAAATTTTTTGCCTCGTAGGCTCCACGAGCATATAAAATCCCAATAAATGCACGGATTTCCGGTAATGTTGTTGTCCAATCGTTCCCCAAAATTCGGCGGCCTTCTTCTTCAGTGCAATTTTTTATATGTTCGATAATATAGTTATCTATTATCAACGAGAATGCACTGACAAGATTATCTGCCATAATGTTCCTTTTTGCGTAGCCTGTTGGACCTTTGACACCCTTGAAAACACAAGTAGATGGTAACCTTCCAGGAATTCCACCTTCGTCAAATTTTAACCACACAGTACCATCGGCAGCTGTTTCGGTCTCTTGAAAGGTGTTATCAGTTTCTTCATCAGAGTCTGAACTACTTAGCACTCTACACCTTTTCCTGGACACATTGATGACACTTTCATTTTCATCGTTAGTGATCGCCTCTTCATCGCTATCTTCAACATCAGATGTCTCACTTTGAATATAATCCGATTCATCTTCAGATGATAGTTCCCAATTTGTTGTATCTGATTCGATATCGGAACACTCTTCACCTATGTTCTTTAGCTTTTCCAATAACTCTCTTCTATTCGACATTTCTTTCATGAATTTAGGGCGCAAAAGAAATCAACTGAACAACGTGTCAGAACGACTATCACTGCATAAAGCAGGCCTATCCTAAGTCGACACGTGTGCAGCTCACGGTTATTACGTTGTAGCGCGTTCAAGCGGAACGAGGCGCGTGGGCAAAAATCAGTCACCATTTACGACACGGGGAGTCTTCGGCCGGCGAAGATCGAACCCACGACCCCCTTGGACTTGTGCCCAGTGCCCTATAAAACCAGGCTATTCCGGCTTTCCCAAGTAGTCAAAATGACTGCTTTTAGGCAATATAGGTGTAATACATATATTTTTACCGGAAATTACGGAGGGGGAGGTAACTACAATGATTAATAAACGCTTCTATATGTTGTACAAAAAGTCATAAAATTCTAAGAAGCTGTGTCATTATAAACATAATTGTTTTTCAAATTTAAATTGAAAAGCAGTCAAAATGACTTCCTTAGGCAATCTAGTGTTAAATTACTTTCTATAAAGCAGTTTCTTTTTTCAAACTAGCAATTTAAAAAAAAAAATTAGTACAAAATGATAATTTTTATTATGATTAAGAACAATAATCATTATTATTCAAAAGATATTAAAAATAAATATGAATGATTGACATTATTTTTGAGGAAATGAACTCGGGTATTTAAGTAAAAAACGTATGCAAAGAAATACTTTATTAAAACAGTCGCAAATGTTCATAATTGCATTTTGACATTTACGACAGACAATTTATCTACAGTTTTTTATAACTAGATGACAGCACTATAATGCGTTAAAATGAAATTTTAACTTTAATTTAAATTCAACTGTGAGTGGGAAATAGTCTATCTCGTACGCAGCGGCATTAACTGATCCAACGGTAATGAAATAACGATATTGAAGAGTATGTGATGTGGATCTAAAAATAAAAGTTCGTGATCATTGCAGAGCTGTAATCGTTATGTAGAAAAGTCCATATAGCAAGATTAAACTTGTTGAGAAGAAATTAGAGTTGTAATGTTCATGTTGAAGAGGTATAATTAATCCCTTTATTTTTAAAAGAATAGTGGTAGCTAAAATCTTGTGGTCATTTAGAAGAATATGGTTTTACACTTCTAGAGGTTTGTAGGATACAGCCGATGCCTTAAAAATATCAGTTTATAAAGATATAAGTTTCGTGGTACAAATATGTGAAATTAATTTCTAAACTTCAACGTCAATTCGCATCACAACTATAAATTTAGCTGTCATTCTTAGAAAAAATTAAAACTCAAATTATAACAATAACAATTTTACTAAACGACGCTATTAAAATATATTTAGGTTAGAATATTTATGAAATATTTAGGTTACATATTTAGGCTAGAGTAGGTTTCGTAGGGCAAATTATGTGTTAGTTTAACTTCTTAACTTTATTTTCACTATTAAAACAAAAGTCATATTTTCATTTAAAAATAGAAAACATCGGTTGAAATGCTTAGATTTAGTTTATAGAATAACGCTACTTGAAAAAACACTTATTTAAAAGAGAAAAAAAAATTAGGTGCAATTGTATGGAAAAAAAAATGGTTTGAGAGCATGAAGATTTCAAAGTACTAAACGTGAACAACTGGAACATTCTGGCGAGGAAGAGAATAGAATGGAAAAGGATACCAAGGAAGGCCCTGGCTCACAAAGGGATATGGAGTCAATAAAGAAGAAGATTACAAGTTTATTTGAATTTCTTTTTAACATTATAAATTTGACAGCCATTTTCAATAATAAAATAAATTGTGTAAAATTAAAATTACTACAATAATAAATCTCAAATGCAAAGTATGTATGATTCTTGAAGTGTGTATGATTCTATTTAAAAAAAAAAAACTCTTAGATCTTGTGCCATAATACCCTACATTCAATCAATCAATCAATTTAAAAAAAAAAAAAGCTTAGCAGCGTATATAGGTAAAATTAGTTTTTAAACTATCACTTTAACGTTAAAATAATTATTACATTTCCCCTTACTAAAATTCAACTGCCTTCTATCAGAAAAACCACAACTTAAAAAAACATAGCATTTTTTAACTGAAATATTCCAAATTTTTGTATGGATTTTAATAAGGAAATAATAAAAACCATTGAACTATCAAATACAAGATTATTTAGAATATAGCCGCAAAAAGTTCTTCGTTCTTTCAGTCTTCTTTGTAAGGACTGTCGCCTCAGTCTTTAAGTTGTAAATAATTTATTATTTTTGGCAACTCAAATGTGTGGGCACCTTTCGGGAGACTTTCCGAAAAACCAATAGGCTATCAAATACAAACTTATTCAGAATATAGAATGTATTCAGAATATATATATTCTTTGTTCTTCCTGTCATATAATTTTAATTTTTTAAATTTTTGCAATCATTTCAATTCGAAATTAAAATACTTGCAGGGTATGGACAATATTATATGTTACATTTTTGCATTGTTCAAACGAGTGCCTTAAGTGAAAAACGATTTTCATTTAGTAAATAAAATGCTTCACAGCATTGTATAGAGCGGCTTTCGAGAGAAATCCTCCAGACATCAGTCTCGCGTCGTGGCGGTTACCATGGTAACGAGGAAAAGTAATTTCGAATAGAGGTGTGGAGTGAATAGTTTTTTCTTAATCTTGACATAGGTCGGCGTGAGTAAACCAATAGACTCCTTCTTTCCTCAATTTCACCCCCTTTAGAGATGTGCTCTCGCTTGTTACCATAGCAGCAGACAACCCAAGACTTTTAGTCTGAAGGAGTTTTTCTCAAATTAGCACTATAATTTTATCTCCGCGAAGCTAATTTACAATACAGCGGCTCCTTTTTGGAGATTTTTCTCTTGGTTGTGTAGTTAGTCCCAATCATAATGTTAGCGTTTGTTTGAAAATTTGTCTCCTAAACTAAAAACAGGTCAAGAATAAAATGTCAAACAGAAGAGTGAGTCATTAAAAACCTTTAGGTTGAAAAATTGCTTCCGGGGAACTAAAGGAACTAGTTTAGTACCTATCAGAATACTAAGTATGCAATGTAAAATTGTCACCTTGTCACTAAGAATTTTGTGCTACACTTAAGTTTTTAAAGTTATTATATACAAAATTTTAGAAGGATTAAAAGTTAAAATATTGATTATCATGGAACATTCTGTTTTTAACCAGTTTTCTTAATTATATTCAAGCTTTGCAATATTAAGTAAAGTTATTCATCGTTTTAGAGGCAAATGTTTTTCGATTAAATAAAAATAAGTCTATTTTTCTTTTCAAAAAAAAAAAAAAAAAAAAAAAAATTTAAATTTACAGCTTTGTTTTACAGAAGTTTCTATTTTCTTACTTTTGCTGATCACAAATCAGTTTGCTGTTACAGATCAGTAATTACTCTTTAGAATTTAACTGAAACTTTCCTTTTCTTTATGCAGTCAGATACTGCATAAGCTAGGAGGGGATTTTTCGCTTCTCTTACTCACTATGAACAACGTTTCGGTACTAAGTACTTTGTACATTTAAAAGCTGTTGCTTTCTACCTATAACAAATATTTCCTTGATGAAACTGAGCTAAAGATTTTTTTGAAGGAAGTTAATATTCGCCGAAACTTTTATGGAACAAAAACCGTAAAGCGTGTTTTGAAGTATAGCAAAAATTTATTAAATTCAGTTAGAAAAAAATTAAAATTTTATCAATAAAACAAGTATTACATATGTACAAATAACTCCAATAAATACTGAAACAATTCAAACATCAACAGTCTTAATCCATTAAAAATACCCCATGTACAGATGGCGGAAGTTTAACATCATTTGGCACTATAGCGCGGCCCAATTCCTTGAATGTACGGGCATCCAATACCATAAGGAAATCTGGTGCATCAAGATCGGTGTCTAACACTACAGAAAGTAATACACCTGAAAGTATTAAAACAATTTGAGTAGCATATACAAATTATATACTAGTAGTAATAACTCGACGGGGAGTTTTTAAATCTAGACACAGATTGAAATCCTCAAAATGAGTCTTCTGTATTTCACCAAAATTTAACAACTCCTCAAAGTGCTTACTTTTTCTTATTTAAACACTAAGCGTTATAATAACGGGGCAAAGTCCCGGATTTTGGGGTCGGAGTTACTAGATAAACACTTTTCAAGCATCTCTTCATATTGAAAACTCTGAGGGGAGAGTAGCTATCGACAATGTCAACAGTCATTTCTATTAAAAGGTACCTCACCATAGAATCGAGTTAACATGTCTTATATACTTGTGAATTGTAATTTTATTTTTGTAGTGGTAGATACACTACAACATTAAATAACAAAGTGAGTTAGTTTTTAAAGTGAGTAATTTTTTACGACGATTAATAAGGACGATCTTGTAGTTGTAGATACACTGCAGTACTCCCCCACCAGAATTATATCTGTGACAGAATTCGATGAACGGACACCACTAGTTGTTTCATTGCTGTTTTGTGAGAAACCGGGAGAGCTGTATTAAGATCACCTTACTTTTGCTGATCATGAGAACTGTATTAAGTTCACGGTCGTTTTTCTCTTGTGTTGCCATTAGAAGTAGAGTGTATGCAGGCCGACGTTGTACGTGATCGAGACTGACTAGCAACAGCGCGAGTAGGTGGATAATGTCGCAGTAACAAGTCAACTGTTCAATGTGGACCATCAATCGAAGTAGGCGTGTGCACAACACGTCTGAAGGTCACCAACGTGGGGAGAGCTATCGAAAATGTCAACAGTCTTCTATGAAAAGATACCCCATCAGAAAATTGAGTTAACATGTCTTATATACTAGTGAATTGGAATTTTATTTTTGTAGTGGTAGATACACTACAGTACTCCCCACCAGAATTATATCTGATAGAATTCGATGAATGGACGCCACTAGTTGGTTCATTGCTATTTTGTGTGAAGCCCGGAGAGCTGTATTAAGATCATCGTACTTTTGTTGATCATAAGAGCTGTATTAATTCGTGGTTGCTCCTGTGTTGCCATTAGCAGTCGAGTGTATGCAGGTTGACGTTGTATGTGATCGAGACCGAGTAGCAACAGTGCGAGGAGGTGGATTTTGTCGCAGTCACAAGTCAACTGTTCAATGTGTACCATCAATCGAAGTAGGTGTGTTCAGATTGAAGTGGGCGTTACTGTCAAGAAAAGCGTGTTCAGATCGAAGTAGGAGTCTCTGATAAGGTAAGCGTATTCACATCTCGTTCGAAGGTTACCAATGTGGGAAGAGAAGCTATCGAAAATGTCAACAGTCATCTATGAAATGGTACCCCGTCATAGTATTGGTCTGGTTTTGTTGGTTGGTTGGTGGGTCCCCTTTACCCCTTCATCATGAGATGGGATCCTTGAGGTGTTTCCTTCTGGTGGTGAGCATAGTATCGGGTTTTTGCCTTATATACTAGTGAATCGGAATTTTATTTTTGTAGTGGTAGATACACTACAACACTAAATAATAAAGTGAGTATATTTTCCTAACGATTAATAAGGACAACCTTCAGAAGTGTACATAATCTCAAAATGAAAGATAAGATTTTGAAATTGCGAATCTTTGTTTCCAAAGAATGGCAATGGAAGACACAACTTACTTTTCATCAATACAATCACTTTTAGATCAACGAAATTGCATTTTTATCGAAGAGATTTCGGTAATCAGGGATCATGGCATGGTTTATCGTGTAAGTAAACGCACTGAGTACAATGTATACATGAAGTACAGTATATCAGAGTACAGTGTATTATTGTAAATTAACAAACAAAATCTCAATTTTAAAAGACTTCTTGTAATTATGCATGCTACATCCCGTTAAAACGGGATATAATATATTTTTAAAATATTAATACTTTTATGTTTATTGAGTTTCATGATTTACAATTTTATTAAATTTGATTGCAGTGATTTTGAACATTTTATGTAAACAATTTAAACACGTACACAAAACCTGTGAATCTAGCCGTGAATTTTTTTAGTCCTTGCAAAATTGAACGTATTAAATTTGTTATTCCTCGGTGTTTTTAAAACATTGTCGAGTGCTGGGAGTTCCGGGTTGAAATATACATGCAATTACTTGTATACAGTCTATGGTCTTTACAGCTTCCAGTGCAGCGTCTTATTCATTAAAACGATTGATAAATAAACTATACACTGTTTGGACAAAAGTGAATAGCTTACTTTGACAAAGCGACTGAAATTTAGGTTTCACATATATATATATATATTTTTTTTATTTCCATTAAAATCTTTACGAAAATACGCATTTTTACGCTTCAATTACGCTATTCTTCTATCAATAAAGCGTTATTCGATTAAGCAGCAAAAGTTTTTAAAAAAAAATTAAAATCACGATATCTTTTTATTTTACCTCATTTTAAATGTGAAACATCTTTATGACATTTTAAATGTGATCAATATGTGTTAATAAGTGGTTAAAAGGTGGTGAAATAGGGATTATTTAATATCAATAGTTAAAAGTGCATATAGTACTGTTACGCTGAAATCGGCATGGAGTCCTGTTGGTTCCCTTTATTAGGTTTATTAGGATGCATTCCCAATATTCGTAAATGTCTTTTCAAAAAGTTCATACTTTTCTTGTTTAAATATGTCGCTCACTCCTTTCTGCCCAATGATAGTTCTCTTGGATTGTTTATTTTCAAGTTAAAACAGGATCTTTGACAGATCTCTCTTCTGTTACGTAGTGAAAATAGCTGTCCGGTTCCAGATCATCTTTTAATTTATTTTTCATTCATAATATAACATTTTAAAAAGGTAGTTAATTCATATTAAAGCATTGTTTTCATTGTATAGCATTTAATTGTTAAAATCAGTCTAGTATTTCATAGTTATTAGTTAATAATTACGATATTACTTACGATCTACTGACTTCGTTTTATAACTTACGTTTTCATTTGCAGGTCATATTGACCTTAGACTGTATAATGTTTGCTCAACTTTATGTAGAACTTGAAACCATGGAGCTGTCAATTTGTCAAGGTCAACGTGATACGGTGAAAGATTGAGTTCGTGAAGACTTAGTGGTCAATAAAAGAAATTGATTTTTAAAAAAATAATAATTAAGAGACAAGGTAAAATTACAAAGTCTTGAACAAGCCTTTCCGACTGATTAAGACAACTATGTTGTCTTTTGTATCAGTAATAATTCGGTAATAGTTTGTCCGAAGCGTTTTTTTTCCAGCCCCTTTTCAACATAAGGTGACAATGGTTGACTAGCATATTACCATAGTGATTGATTTGTTTATTTTATGAAGTTTTTATAGAGGGGAAAAACATCTCAGATTTCTGATGATTTACTCTAAAAAATTTTCGCTAAACTTGTCTCTTTAGCAAATTCTTTATAATTAAGGTCATTCAATTTTAATCTACTACATGACGTAATTTATTACATCAGAAATATAATTGATTTATATTTAATTAAAATCCGAACAAACCAAAATGACTTTAAATAGAAGACATAATTAAATCTAGCTTTGTGTTCGGATTAATTAAAAATTGGAAAATTCATTAAAAAGTGTTCGGATTACTACCGCCGTCTGCTTATGGACTGATCGTTAAGACACGGTTCCCAGCAGATCACCGAAGTCAAGCATCACTGGCTACGGTCAGTGTGCGATATTGGTCCTCGTTAAACTGTTCTACCGTAAAGTGCTCGACTTCACGTGCAGGCCGTCGGGCTACCGAAGCGGTTGTGCCATCCCCTCTGCAGAGGATCAAAATTGTGATGGCATGTCTTCGAATCATCCTCAGGGATGTTTCCCAGACTGTCGCCCATCGTGCAGCTCTAGTGCGACGTAAATTAACTACAACAACAACAAATCTAATTACCATCATCCTCTTCAACGGATCCAGGTCTTGGTACATAAACAGGTTCACTGGGATACATTGAATCTTTTTCTTTCCATGTGATCGTTTCTCCCGTAGCAATATCCAGTTTCAATAACTGAAAAATGCAAAGTGTACTCAATCATTCAAGCAAATTCTTTTTACGACGCTATTCATAAATAATCAGGTATTGCAAATAATAGCTCAAACATTTTATTTGTATAATCAATAAATTACAGCAATAAAATGTTGATATCAAAAGCACAAAAATTGTCTACTTAAATTTCACTATCTCTCTCAACTATATTTACATTAATTTTCATTAGAAATTGTGCTAATAATTATGAATATACAGTCGGACTTCTATTTAACGAACTTCCATTTTGCTAATTTCTCGATTTTGCGAATTTTTTCGAGGAACCAAGAACATTTTGGAAATTTCTTCGTAAAATAACTTCCAAATAGCGATGTGAATTTTCTATTTAACGAACATCGAGATCCACTTTCTCTATTTTTCAAAATATTTCGGAACATTTCAAACTTGCTAAGGCATTATGGGGGAAATTACCTGGAATCATTTTTCGAACCCACTCCTTTATGTAATGTTTTACTATTTACTCTAAAAGTTATTTTAGAGGAAGCAGTAAAATCCCTTTCCCTTTTTGTTTTCATTTCAAACGAAAAACTCAGTCCAAATTAACGGATTTCATCAGTAGCAATTAAACTTAACGCATGTGGTAATGCATGTTTAAAATTTTTTTTGTAATAAATGCAGCTATATTTTTATGCATAAATTTAGCTTTTTTTAGTTGAAAATGTATGTAGCATAATAGTGTAACACTGGATAATATTTTGCTCTATTCTTGCTTTCCATGCAAGTTTATTTTATGGTTAAGATTTATGAAATAAATAGTAGATACTAGTGCACAAGATAACGGTGTATCCATTGCTACTTTAATTATGCCTAGTGTTTATGAATTTAAAACCTGTTTTGTGTTGTTCCAAGTATTTTAAAAGGTCATTTTCTATTTAACGAGTTTTCCTTATAACGAACTTATCATCGGGATTCAGCGACTTCGTAAAATAGAGGTCCGACTGTATTCGTAGGTTTAAATAAAATGTAGAATTTAAAGTCTATATGTGCTGTATGAAACTTATTCTGTAAAAAAAAATAGTATCTGTGCTCTAAGTATGAAGAACAGCTAGTGTTAGGGCATATGCGTGGAAGTTCGATAAAACACTCAAGATATTATGTAAACAATGAAAAAACATAGATATGTCAATAGGTACAGGAACAAAATTGTACTTATTGTACACAGACCCTTATAACTTCTAAACTGTTAGTCCTAATGTCTCGGGATTGCTCTCATAATTCAATTCAGCATGAAGAAATAGACTAGAAACTTTGCTTCACTTGCTTGTCTAGAAGAAATTAAATTACTCCCTTCCAATTATCCTTATTTCCTTCAGGAAATAAAGGGGGGAGAGTCCAGATTAGAGTACAAAAGAGAAATATTCAAGTATCATTTATAATAACATAAAAGTTTATTTTTTTAATTAAAACCCTTGGATATTAATTTTTCCGAAGAAAAGCAATTTCACAGGACTATATTTTAAAATTTTTTTAAAACCATTTGAAACTTTATAGCTTACCTAAATTCATTTTTTATATACTTTTGATTTTAAATTACTCATGTAAATGAAATAGAATTCGCAATGAAGGGTTTCCATCGTGCTATAGTGTCCTTTTATTAAAATCTCATGAAGCATTTGTAGCCAAATCTCTTTTGTGAAGTCTTTAAACACCGGAAAACTGCTTGTGCCTAAACTTTAAACTATGTAAAATAACCTGAATTTTTAAGGTCTAAGGGTTTATGGTATTTGATAGTTAGGTCATTTCTCCAGAAATGCTTATTCTGAGGGAGAATATGCAAATTTCAACCACACTTATTTTAGAATTTTTTTTTTCTTTAAGAGACTTTTCGAATGAAATCTTATGCCTTTTTCATTTTGATCCACACAAAAAAAAAAAAAAATTGAAATCATATTTGAGAGAATATTTGAGAGAAAGATTTTACGGGGTATACTTGGTGGTGTAAATGAAAACAATAGCTGGAGGAGATTTAACTTTGAACTGTACAATATTTATAAACAACCTGATATTATTAAATACATAAAAATAAATCGAATGAATTGGATCGCCCACGTGATTCGAATAAGTGACGACAACACAAAAAATATACTACTTTTTAGACACACTGGAAAAAGAAAGCGGGGAAGGCCGCGGCTGAGATGGGCTGACTCAGTGGAGTCTGATTTTCTCGCATTTAATGAAAAGAATTGGAGATCAAAGATAAATCGGAAGTCATCATGGAGAAGTCTTCAGAGGAAGGCATTGGCTCACATTGGGCTGTCTGGCCAACGATGATGATTTAAAAAAAAAATTAAGATCCTGGTAAAAATTTTCCCACAGAGAACCATATGCCTGCGTTTATCAGAGAAGTGAAAAGTCAGCAATATATAATGCTAATAATAAATTAAATATTTCTAATTTTTTTTAATTTTTCTAATCATAAAAAATCAGGAATATGTAATATTAATGACAAGAATATATAATACTAATAATAAATTTTATCGTTTATTAAACATGTGAACTATTGTTCCTATTATGTATTTGTATTAGAGTTTTCAAAATAAAACGAAAATTATACAGAGTGTTCTGTAATAACCGTTATTAATATGGTTTTAAAATTCTAGCTGAAAAGACAAAAATTTAGGTCAAGAAAAGTTTATAAAATGTCATCAAAATTGACAAATCATTAGTGAATTCAGTTTATTACAATAATTCTGGGATATATATAAGGCACCAAAAATAGTTTGGTTGTCAGACAAATTAGAAAATTTTATCTCTAGCTTTTACTTCATTTTAAATAGATTCGATAGTTAAATTTATTTTTTGATGCTTTTAATACCCCCACACGGTAACAAGACTTCACAGTTTTAGATTTTCCATTTACGGCAACCAAGATGTACAATTTTATTAATAAATTTTTTTATCTACATATATTAAAGGCGGTGATTATGGAACACCCTGTATGTGATAGATGTAATTGGGAAAAAGAAAGACCATACTGAGTTTTTAAATATTCCAGTCTCGAAGACTCCACTTCCATACATATACCTGTACTTCTGAGTATTGAACATGGAATAGTTTATTACTGGCATTTCGTATCCTAAAATGATAAAAGAAATTTACAGTGCGCAAAAAAGAGAATACCTAAATAACATTTATTCTAATGAGCGCATTTTCTTTTGCTAACAGTCAGACTAAAGCGTAACTTTTAAAGCGCTAATTGATTTTATATAACAGTCATTAAACAGCCGACCCAATTTTAAGTTTACGACTACCAATGATCAAATCCGAACTCTTGTAATTTTGAGCCAGATCCAGAAAGCCACGTTGACACCTCGGCCCATGATAATTGATTTGTGCAGAAACTGTACAATTTAAAGTGACAATTTTTAAAAATTGAATGAAACTGGTTGGAAAAAATATCCCAAAAGCCCAAATTTTTAAATTTTCACCACTTAAAAATTATTTTACTAATTTTGTGCAAAAAATTTTCTTTTCATTTAAAACTACACAGTTTAAAATTATGTAAAAACAAATAAATCTTGATATCTTTGAATTGTTTCAGAAATATGTCAGAGAAAAAAAAAATTTAAAAAAAAAAAAAAAAAAAAATTCAAAACAACTCTACTAATTAGTTTATTGCGAGCATATTTTCGAGATTGCGTGCATTCTTCATATTTTATAGATAAAAATTCCTGATCAGTAAAAAAAAAAAGTGTTTCAGAGTTTATTCAGAGAAAGTATATTTCTGTGTCAGGTTTTGTAATTTTATATATTATTTGCGCGAATCAAAGCATATTTAAAGACAAAGTTGGGCTAGCAATCCATTAAGATTGCAAGTTAGAACGGAAAAATTCGATTTCTAGATCAAAAGGTGATTCGTTTTTTATTTTGCGAATTGCACATGATATAAATAATTGAATATTATTGCGAAGTTAATAATCCATTCTAAAAGATGAAGGAAATTTTATTTTTTTAATCATCGTTACTAGATGACAGCACCAGTCATACTGGTGTACTTTAAAACGATTTTGACTCTGAATCCTTCTAAACGTAACGAGACTTAAAACTTCAAGTGAAATTATTCAGTGCTGGCATCTAGTAAGTAAAATATAAACTAATTTGTTATTTCAGTGCTGGCATCTAGTAAGTAAAATATGAACTAATTTGTTATGTACGACACAAAGACATAAATACTAAAAGCAAAACAACAATGAAATAACATTGCAACCAAACCCACTTAAATTTCCAGAGTTTTTCTTTTTTTTATGTTTAATGTTTCTATAAAAGATAAACTCAGGAAACTTCTCATATTATGATATAAAGTGTCCAAAGATATTTAAATGTAACAGTTAAAAATAATTTTTGCGTTTTAATAATAGAAACTAAAATTTGTTCATTTAATAACGATGTTTCAAAAATATCATTAATATTGCTTTCATTATTAGAGTGCTTTCCACAGCTTTTTGAATGCTCAAGGTTAAGCGGTCAATGATTTCTTTTAATTGTTGCTTGACCAGCTTGATCAGTTTTCTCAACAAAAAAAAAAAAAAAAAAAAAAAAAAAAAAAAAAAAATAGAATTTTTCTATACAAATTTTCCTTATTCACTCTTTGATTAGGCCTTTTACAAAGAAGAAAGAACAATTACGTCCTTCAACTCTGTGCGAACCTTTAATTTTAATTTACTGTCTCTCTAAAGAATAAATCTTGTACTTAAAGACGGAAAAATAGCTTAAATATTGAAAAAGTTACTTGTTTCTTTAAAAAATCGCTAATTTGACGTAATTTGTTCCATCTAAATGAAAATTATTACTTTTTTTCATATGAGCTAGACATTACAGCGTTGGGACAACTTTTTAATTATCGTTTTCTATTTTATAATCGTCGTTAAACACCATAACTGATTTTGACAACTACCAATGTTCAACTCCGTAGCCATTTAATTTTTAGCCCGATTCAGAAGACAATGGAACTCCTGGATCAAGTAGTATTGGGAGAAACTAGGCCTCGTGGAGAACTTTTTGATGGAACTAACTCACATTTTTGTTTAAGGTTGAAGAAAAATCACGAAAACTTCCCACAGTTAGCCTGACAAGGGGACTAACCCATGAACCATCTACCACTGAGTATACTTTACATCAGCATTGTGGTCAGCGCGAACCGGGTGTATTAGTCGCACTAATTAGCCATCCCTGGTATTCGAACCTGGGTCTCCGCATTGAGAGGCGAGAGCTCTATCCTCTGAGCCACGCCGGCTATCATTTAAACAAGCAGAACTTTACGTAATAGAATCAGTTAAACCTTCCCAGCGACGAAGATTGAGGCGAATGTTTTCATTGAAAGAGTCGATGAAAAGAACTCCCCTCGCCACTCGTCTGAATGAGTGGCTAGGACCATGGCAGCTTAGTTTTTATTACTAAAATTTTTCAGGATTTTAAACACTGAGATTTGTTTGGGTGACTGCAATTAATTTTTCGTGCCAATTTATGAGAATGTAATAGAAGTTAACTTCAATTATTATGAAAATATTATTGACTATTATTATTGAATTCAATTATTATTGACCTGGTTCTCCTATGGTTTCGGGAGTCATCATAATTACTCCATTATCTTGTTTGATCGCTTTGGCTTCTGAATAATTCAATGTGACTAAATTTGCACCTTTCTTTCCATCCTGTAGAAATATATAAATTCTTTTTAAACACAAAAGCAAAATTTTTCATTCAGTTTTTAATTTTTTGCAACATTGAAAGAATTGGATACCTGCAAGTGACGTCATTGTAGATAAATCGTAGCATTTGCTGATTTAGAACACAATCAGGTTCGACACACGCGCGTGACGTCGCTTACAGGTATCCAATTAAATATGGTTTAAGCCACGTGGTTAGGTATAATCGCTTCGCTTCTTCTATGGTTGTAAGTACCCAATTCCTGAAGACATTAATTTCTGTTGTTCTATCAGTTTAATGCTAAATTGTTTCTTTGAAAAAAAAATTACGCAGCTCGCCCTTCATACGTATCGTTAAAAATTGTTTAAAAATGTTGATCATTTGCAACTCTTATAAAAGATAACTGTGGTAATATTTTAAATTTATTTGTTTAGATATGATTAGTTTATGAGTAATAGCAATTCACAAGCTATAAATATTAACTTGTGAATCTTTACTATTCCTTAACTAATCCAGTTTGAGAATTTTTGCTTACTTGCAATTTACGAGTAGATTTAGTTTTTGTTATAGGCGATTATATTAAAGAGGCATGAATGAATTTACAGTATAAACAATTAAAATTCGATAAATAATTTCGAATTTTATCTTAAATTTATTTTAGGGAATAAACTATCTGAAATTTAATTTTTTTATATATAAATTTGCTAGCAGGCACATGTGAGAACTGTGTTCGAAAAATGCTAAGTCAATAAGTAAAATACAGTCATCTTTATCTTAATTTCATGTAAATAAGATATTGCACTTTTTTCATTCTGACTTGCAAGTCAGTGTTAACTCTCGTAAATTTTTAATGGCTCGAAGGAAAAAGCTCATAATTGCAGTCATGAAAACTCAAATTTTCATTCAATTAATTGGAAAAATATATGTTGAACATAATGCAAGGCTACCAACTACTCACTTTTTTGTAAAATAATTCATGAAGTGGTGGAAAAACTAAAGCATTCAGAATTTTTGGTAATTTTTAATTTCAAAAGTGTCACCGCAAGACAGCTGGAGCCAAGTGGTGTTTCATATAAACTTTAATATTATTTACGTGTAATAGTGTGGAAAATAACCTTAAATCAAATTTATAAAAATTAAAAATCATACATTAAAACATAAACTTAACTATCACTAGACGAAATTTTCCCCAAAAGCCTAGAAAGTTGTCAGCCCCTGGATTACGTAAAAATAAGTTTTTGAAAAATTTTAAAAATTTATCGAATTTTTGAGATTATACAGAAGTTTCAAATGGTTAAAACTATTTAGTTTTCACTTTTTCCAAGAAATTTAACTAATTTGTTATTACTTTAACAAGAAATGATTCAGTATTACAGTTACTTAGTGTATTTTTTCTTAAAATTAATGTTTTAACTGTAGTTCGCGCCAATTTCCATAAAATCTTACCGATCACTTCTTTGAAATTTAATCTCTAACAGCAGATTTTTTTTTTTTTTTTTGCAGAATTAAGTCGCATGCAAATATATTGAAACTAATGTAACATGTATATACATTGCAAAGATAAGTATTGGCATGTTTGCATTTACAGTTTTTGGTTAATTAAATGTAAAACCCAGACTTTCATAGTACTTCTTGTCATACTCCACTTTATTAAAGAAATGTCTACGATCAACGGAAACATTATCAATTCTATTTAAATTTTGAAGTTCTCTATAACTTTAAAACGATAATTAATTCCGCATTTTCGGTTATACCGATGTTTTGTTTAAAATAATTGAATTTAAATTGCTTAGTAAAAAAACATGAGAAATTATGCGAAGTAAAAAACATGTGAGTTAGTAAAAAACATGTGAAATTATGACACGTATAGTCGGTGATATAGCTTTGTTTGTTATTTAAAAAATCAGTTTAGATTGCGCGTTTAAGAAAGTGGTCGTAGCATTGGATTCTGTATTTTAAATTATTATATCTTAAAAGAATTTACCAGGTAAACCCCATAGTATTTAAAAAATTAAGTTAGGCACGAATTAAGAAACTTAATAGGTTAGACAATTTAATATTAAGTCAGACAATTAAGAAAAAAAAACGCAATGTCATTTTTTCAGAAATTGTGCTTGTTTTTATGCTCTTCCTAAGTTCACAAACCTCAACTTGCTTTAGATCGGCTCATCTTGATACCCTGGAATCTTAGTTTATTCCTTTGAATGCCGAGTTATCGACATTACTTTCTCCCCACCTCTCCATAACGTACCGAAATATATTTTACTCTGATTTGCCTCCCGACCACTGTGTTTTTTTTTTGTTCTGTTTTTGATCTTTTTTTCTCTTGGTTTCCGTGGTTTTTCTAATTTTTGTTTCTAACCTTTAATTTTTACATTTTCCGTTGGCAACTTTACATTTTTTTCAAGACATTTTTGTTTTGTTACATTCACGCCTCTCAAATCTTGAAAATGGGTGTCTATTTTCCATGCGCTTGAAACATGTTGATTGTCATTTCATTTTGTATATTTTTGAAGCGCATGAAGTTTTCAATAGGGTAACTTTTTTTCCCCCGAATGCCCACCTGTGTTAACATTTTTCGTCAATTCAGGCATTTACAGGGAAGATTTGTTGCTCCCAGGACAGATTTGTTGCAAATTTGCTCCCACAGTAAGGACAAATAGTACAGAGAAGGAAAGAACATCCATGCCTTGCCCGGGATTCGAACCCAGAACCTTTCTGATGCAATGGCAGTTCCCTAACCCCTACATAGGCCGTTCGGCTCAATTGGGTAACTAGTTAGACATGGTTTTAGATATAATGATTAGCACTTCTGTCTTTTTCAAGGAAAAAAATGGGTGTTAAAAATTTGAGTATATATTTTCCCACTGATTACGAGATTCAAAAAATTCAGAGAAAAATGTTTGATAGAATCACAGACATTCCCCATCTTAATACTACTACTACTACTACTACTACTACTACTACTACTACTACTACTAATAATAATAATAATAAAGTTTTTCGAATTTGGAAAAGCTCACGGCTTTCAAAGGCAATACAAATCGTGTGAAAATAGGTTGGCATGTTTGATCGAATCCTCCGAGTCTGAGTTTCTGGAGATAAAACTTATCAAACACTCCTGGATCGGGAAAAGCCATAATGTCAGCCACCACGTGATCATCTTCTTCATAAGTGTTGATGTGATGAAAGAAAAAGAAAGCATCAGACTGAAATTTGATCTTTAGTTCTTGCCCAGATACTCTGTCTATTAAATGAAATTTAGTCTGAAAGAAAAAAAATAATTTATTTTTTGATATTTTTTTCAAGCAGTAATTATCAAGTACAACTTAGTTCTATAGCTATGTAAATACTGCTTATTTACTGGGTATAATCACTTAAGTAGTGTTCACTGTAAAATGTTTGTCGGAGAAAATGCTTCATACTAATTTACCTTAGAAAAATATCAAAATCACATAGTAACAGATTAGTTTGCTCTCCAAATATATACACGACTTTGGCGCTTAATATGGTAATAATGTAGTTAAGAAATAAACTGATTGAGTAAAACTGCAGTTTACACAGCTGAAAGCTACAGTTTACAGAGTTAGTTGAAAACTGCAGTTTACAGAGTTGAAAACTACAGTTTACAGAGTTGAAAACTACAGCTTACAAAGTAAAGATGCAGTTTGCAATTTGTTTGTGTATTAATTATATCAATGCATTTGTTTAAAAAAATACTAAAGGTTGCAGTTGAATGAGTGTAGCTACAAGTAATGAACAATTATAATGTAGCTACAGTCTGTTTTATACAATTACCAACACTTTTTATTCTAAAAATTCTGAATGTTACTTTCTAAAGCAGAAACATTGCTCGATTTAAAATCTTATGAAAGATTCACAAATTCTAATCTTTTGTTTGTAAATAATTTCTATTATCGTAGAAATGGAATTGTTCTGTGATATTCGTGAATTTCACGATGATTTTATCAGCACCAGAATTGAAATCAAATTTTTTTTAAATTATAGGATTCACAGATTAATATTAAGGATTAAAACTACTCCTGCACCTTTTGTTTTTAAGAGAACTTTTCTTTCTTCTAGAAAGTTTTATTTAGGTAGTAATTAGAACTAGTGACAGTCAAGTCAAAGATTAGGATCATTTAAAGATTTTATTTTCCTTTTTCCTAAAGAACTGGTTGCCTATTTACCATACTTTTGCAACCCATTTTTAATTATGTAAATAAAAAAGTTTTGACAGTATCATAACGACAAATTTTTTTTTAAATGTATCCATGTGGAAAAAGAGAACGTTTTTTCGAATCGACATTTTTTTCGCCTTTGCTCAACTGAAGCGATAAGTTTATTTTCAGAAATTTTAAAAACAAGCATCCAAGCATTAACACATATCTCCTCAATAGAAAAGAGCTGTTTTTGATCAGAATCACTTTTTATGGTTCAGAGTTTGATTAGAACAGAGAATAGCTCATTATAAAAAATAAAAAAAATTGATCTTGTTTTTAACAATACGCCACAATTTAGATTTTAAGTATCGATAAACTTTTGCAAAACTAACAAATATATATCTACTTAGACACACAGGTTATCGAATTTATTTCTCTCAATTCCATATAAATTTAAACTCCGTCCCGATTTTTTAAAGCATTTTTCTTAAAACAGACAATTTGCCATGAATAGTTGTTTAGAGTAAAAGGAAACAAATTGAAATGCCACAAATATTCAAAATGGTATTTTTACCTTGTCTTTTGGGCACCAATCAAAGCAATCTTTCACTGAATAACCTTTTATACCCGAAGCAGCCATTCTTACTGTATTGACATAGAGTGGTTGTTCCAAGAACAATATGTACCGTGGTGTCAGTCCGAAACTGTGGTAGTAACTGAAGCTTGTCTTGTGATTGGCGCTGAGGCTCGACAGAATTGAGGCCCGCTCAAAACCTTTGCCTTCTTTAAAATAAAAAAGCTTTATTAGTCAGACACACATTTATTAATGAAATCACTAGAAGTACAGCACGCAACTTAATAGGAAAAGTATTTCTAGAAAACTAACATTGTTAATAGCTTGCGAATACACTTTTATTGGGGTGTTTTGGAAAGTAATTTAGTATTTTTTTAATGAAAATAAGAGATTATCTTATTAATAAATATTTTATTGAATCATAATATTGTCCAAATACCTTTTACCATCTTTCTGGTACTAGCATGATTCCTCACTCATTAAAATTTCGTTACTGGTAAAAAACTGATCCAGGTGATTTTTGACCCTCTTATTTCTTTTATAACCCTAGTTGAACAGCCGACCCAATTGTGGGTTTACGACTACCATTTTAACTCCGTATTCTTGTAATTTTGATCTCAATCCAGAAGACAATGGAGCTCTTGGATCAGTACACCCAGAGGTATTGATTTGTTTGGGAACTTAGGACTTTTTTTTTGTTGCAAAATTAAGGCATGTGCAAATGTACTAAAATTAATGCAACATACATATACGTTGTAAATATACATATACGTTGAAAACTACAGTTTGCGGAGTTGAAAACTACAGTTTGCGGAGTTGAAAACTACAGTTTACGGAGTTGAAAACTACAGTTTACAGAGTTGAAAACTACAGTTTACAGAGTTGAAAACTACAGTTTACAGAGTTGAAAGCTACAGTTTATAAAGTAAAGATGCAGCTTGAAATTTGCGTGTTAATTAAATCAATGCAATTGTTTAAAAAATACTGAAGGTTGCAGTTGAATGAGTGTAGCTGCAAGTAATGAACAATTATAGTGTAGCTGCAGTCTGTTTTATACAATTATCAAGCCACCAACGCATTTTACTCTAAAAATTCTGAATGTTACTTTCTAAAGCAGTAACATTGCTAGATTTAAAATCTTATGAAAGATTCACAAATTCTAATCTTTCGTTAGCAAATAATTTCTATTATCGTAGAAATGAAATTGTTCTGTGATGAGTATTCTTGTAATTTTGATCCCAATCCAGAAGACAATGGAGCTCTTGGATCAGTACCCCCAGAGGTATTGATTTGTTTGGGAACTTGGAGGACTTCGTGACTCTTTAAAAATAGATAATTTTCTTGATGTTTGAGAAGCAAATCACAGACGCGACGGCATAACTTTCTTTTCGTGACAGCATGCGAAGTAAATTTGTCGAACTTTGAGATTTAATCATAGGCTTTTTAAATGAATGATTGAATTTTATAAATTTAATGTATGAGATATCTCACAAGTTGTTTTATTCCACGGTTCTCGTCAATTAAGGAATTTATTGTGTCTTCATCTGCTTAAACTGGATTGGTTCCGGATCTAAATTTTGCAAAACAGTTGAGGTACTGGAGTATATCGGATAACTGTTATACACATCGGATAATTGTTTTCCTTCGGATAATTGCTCTTCAATGACATTTTTACCTTTTTTGATTATCAAAGAAGTAAAATATTGTCTATAATTTTGCTTTTCACTTTCCATATTTGAAAGGACACCCAACCAGAATCTTCTGCGCAGAATCAATTGAACTAGCAAGTCTAGCTATATCAGCTGTCAAGATCTATAATGATTATGCAGATTAAGTGTGAAAAGGCTGTGAGAGAAAGTATAAAAGTACTTTATTCAGAAAAAAAGAAATGACTTTCCGAACAACCCAATAACATGTTATACAGTCGGTTGTAAATATTATATACAGATTATTGAATATAGATTATTAAATATAATTCATCCCTAATTATGTTAAAAAGTATCGTCAGAGGAGGGCTTTCAGAACCTAATTGAGTTCAGTTGTTTATATAAATTTGTAATTGAATTATTCTTTAATGTATTATGAGAATAGTATAAATCTGTCGTAAGAAACTGAAAGTATATGGACAATGTCTTTTGAATTAAAAAAAAAAACAATTTAAAGTTGTTTTTAATACTGGTTTTAATAAATTAATTGTAAGTTTTTAACTTTCTCTCCGGAAAAATTTTATTTTTTGCTGAATGTTACTCCTTTCTTTAATTTTCTAAGTAAAGAAACTACATTTGTTTTACCTGGTTGAAAAGTTTCTTACGATTCAAAATATAGTAAATAACAGTAGACATGTTTCACGCACTTCAAAAATAGGCGTCTATTTTGAAGACTTGAGTGTGAGATTTGACAGATTTAAATGAGAGAAAATAAAAGTGATTGTGAAATAGGTGCCTATTTTTGCAGCGCTTGAAACACGTCTACTGTTATTTACTATTCATATGTTTGTTCTATACTATTCATACTATTCATAAGTTCTTAATCAGCTAATAACTTACAACTTCAGTTTCTTTGGATTATTTGTGTTTTTTTTTTCTCCCCATTTTTGGTTCCTTAAAAGATTTTCCTTAAAATAAATATATCAGTTAACAGTTTCATATATATTGGAACATTCACTTAATTCCTAAAATTTCCTAAAAATCACAATACCTAAAATTTTGATGTTATGATTAACTATTTTGAGTTATATAAAATTAGTTAGAAAAAGTTATATTTGCAAATTTTATTGTTACTTCAAATTAATTTCTAGTCGTCAAACAATGGTCAAGACATTCAAGAGACAATTCACCCCTAGCTATAAACAGAAGAATTTTTAATTCTCCGAAAATGAATCAGATCGGACTTGCTTCGAATAATTGAAATATTCATATTAAATAGAAGCAACATTGTTTTTTTTTATCTATATTTCAATCAATAAAAAAATTAAAATGAGTTTTCCTCATATACTAGTACTAACACTTATTCAGCTAATAAATGTTTTGTAAAATAGGTGAGAAGAAGTTTAATTTTACAATTCACTTGCACTATCTCCCCAGATAATGATACTCTTTTTTTATTTAAAGAAACCATTTAAACAAAACAGCATATAATTCTATTTAGCTAGCTAATTTTACTGATTTTTAACTTTGATTTCATAAATGTATTAATGTTAAATTTCATTTTAATTTATCAATTTCATTTTAGTTTATCAATTTCAGCGATTTTAAATTTCATGAATTCAATAAATTTGTAAAGCTTTGTAAGGTTTTCCCTCGATTTTTTTCCCACTATTATATTATACTTTTCTTGCATGAATAACACAAAACGCATTCTTTCAGCAGAAGTAGAAACTATGATTGTAAAAGGTGAAGGAAACAAGAAAAATTACGGCATTCTGATATCTTTAGCCAGAATATTTAATTACTAGCATTAAGAGAAAAATGACAGAGCAAGTCAAATAAACAGATTGCCTAAGCATAGAACTTCAAACAATCAAAAATAAAATTTAAAAAAAAAAAAAAAAGCAAATAATTGTGTTGATATTATCAACGAGACATGCATTCTAGTTCTGAAATTTCTTAATTTTAATTTTTTATGTCTGGTGATATTAACTGACTGATGACAAGATAAATCGAGATAGATAGGTGATAGAGCGATCGCACAATGGCCAGATATCATTGCAGTTTTAAGTAACAGTTTTTAAGTAACAAAATGTTGTAAATTTTAGAACAAACCTTTTGTTCCCCCGTCTTGAGGATTGATTTTGACGATGTGGTATCTCAATCCAGTCATAAAACTGGCACCGAGGTTGTAAATAGTTCCATCTAAACATTTATGAGGATGGGAACTAGCCAGATTGACAGACAAAACTTCATTTAAATTTATCTGGAAAAAAAAAAAGAATTTGTCAATATATTACAAAAGTTTTCTCTATCTTGAAAATTCCAGCTTTTTAAAACATTAAGAAAAATAAAAATGCACAACGTTTACTTTATACTTAAAGAGATTGAATTATAATAAACTTTTAAATCAATGCATATGTTACCGGCAAAGTATGAAATCCGTAATTATATATAATGCCTAAAACTAGCCGGCAAAGTATGAAATGATTTATATTTCACAAATGTCCTAGGCATTCTATAGAATGCCAGATGCTATTTAGGCAAAGTATGAAATAAACGTCTTGATGAGGTTATTGTGTAAATGATGTGCATGCTACTGTGAATAACCGAAATCGGTGGTTGTTGACTTTCACCGGTGAATGTTAACAATCACATAATCGCTTTGGTGAATGTCTGAAATATTTATTACATCCAATTTGATATTAATTTATTTGTGGATATAATTGCATTTATTCGATATTTTAATACTTACTGACGATAGATTAGAAGAAACATCAGTGTTTGGAGTATCGAGCAAATATATACCGGGCAATGGCACTTGACCTTAAAAAAACATCAATGTAGAGCATACCGGGCAAATGTATACCGGGCAGTGGCACTTCTCTAGACCTAGTATGACTAGACCTTCGGTAAATGTCCGAAATATATGCCACTGCCCGGTATACATTTGCCCGGTATATCCGACACTGATGTTTTTTGAAGGTCAAGTGCCACTGCCCGGTATATATTTGCCCGGTATATCCTACACTGATGTTTCTTCGAATCTATCGTCAGTAAGTATTAAAATATCGAGTAAATGCAATTATATCCACAAATGAATTAATATCAAATTGGATGTAATAAATATTTCGGACATTCACCAAAGCGACTATGTGATTGTCAACATTCACCGGTGAAAGTAAACAACCACCAATTTCGGTCATTCACAGAAACATGCACATTATTTACATAATAACCTCATCAGGACGTTTATTTCATACATTGCCTAAATAGCATACGGCATTATATAGAATGCCTAGGGAAAGTATGTAATAATTCTCACATTTCATAATTTGCCTAAAAACGTCAGGCATTATATAGAATGCCTAGGGAAGGTATGTAATAATTCTCACATTTCATACTTTGCCTAAAAACGTCAGGCATTCTATACAATGCCGGCGTTTCATACTTTGCCGGTAACATATACATTGATTTGGAACATATACATTGACAGGAATCCAGACGGTAGCTTGGTCACAATTTTCAGATCCAAAATAGTGTTGTGGTCAAGCGGTTAAATTTATAAGATTATACATTCCTTGGCCAAATTATTAGACACACTATAAGATTCTATTATCTTAATTATCAGGTGATACTGAACAGCCTGATTGTTTTTACAAGACTGAAACCGGTTTGCACTTGTTTACGTTCGTGTATCAACTGGTTACATTAGACGATGTGCAATATAAGTTCGACGATTGGATAAATTAGACGATATGTTATATAAATATAGAATATTTATTAGATCAGGTTTTATATTAATATATTATACTAATAATTAAACCAAATTATCAGACTCGCTGTAGTGCTTTAATAATTGCATGTTTTGAACGAGTTTATATGCATTAATTTTATATATAAAAATACATGTAATAGATTTTTCAGAAGATTTTTTTTATATACTTTCAATTTGTATTTATTTTTAAGGTATTGCATTACAATGTTAACCATACACGAACATAAACAAATGTAAACCGGCTTCTGCCGAGTAAAAATAATAATGCTGTATAACATCACCTAATAATTAAGATTTTACATAGTGCGTCTAATAATTTGTCCTGGGACTTTAAAGTTCACTTTAATTTTTTGTTTTACAAGTTTTTAGTTCCATTAAACTTTTTATTTTAAACCAGAATTGATTCAAATTGCATTCATTTTTATTCATTTGAGGTATTTTAAGCTTTTAAAAAACATCAGGATCCAGAGATTTATCTATTGTTACAAATACACGCATTGTAAGAAAGCTTTTCGAACAACAAATGAAGGAGTGTTAATCTTGCATGGCCGTGGCTGAATGGGAGATGAGAAAAAGATTAAACAAAAGTTGGTTCCTAATTTTAATAAACTAAAGATGGAATAATAGAGCACTTACTCTTTTAGTGCATTCTAGATCTTTCGGATTAACTTTCCACAAATGACAAGTCTCAGAAGAAGCATAGAGCTCGTCATCAATAACAAATACATTTGCAACAGCATTATCGGTCAATTCGAGAGGAACCAATTTTGAAAAGTATCTAGAAGGAAAATAAATCACTGAAAATGGTTGCATTCTTAGGAATTTATTTAGACAGCTAGTAAAATATTATTTTCACTTAAAGGAATTGACGAAGGCTGAAGAGAAAAAAAAAGTATTAACACTAGAAAGACTGAAAACCTCCACTTGCCGCGGTTTCATTAACCGCTTAACGATCGGTTAATTTTCAAGAAAACGGTTATAAAAGTGCCTATTTTGCCAAATACACGTATTTGATTAGTGCTGACATCTAGTTTAAAATAAACTAGCGATCTACAATTACCTTAAAAATATCCTACTGCTGCCATCTGGTGTGTAAAATGAGAAATAAAATGTTTTCCGGGCAAAAGAAATGAATTAGTTTTATTCTTATTGGCGCAATACTACAGAACACTCCAGCCCGGAAATTTCACGGGAGCGAAATTTCCGGAGAGCGAGAAATAGAGGGCGAAACCTCTACCAATCATTTTCACGGGAGCGAGAAGGAAGGGGTTAAACAACTGTTTCATCACCTTATCTAGTAACCCTTCATTGAGAAGCAACCCTATGCTAGCCTTAATACAGCACTCGCAACAATTGTAAACGAATCTTCGTGCTCATGGATATTTTTAAAAGTTAGCTTGTTGAATTAAGTGAAGATTTTATCCTGGTTTTAGACAAGAAAAATTCAAATAACGAGAAAAAATACTTCGTCCTTCAATAAAGAAAGAGGTAGAAAAATCTGCCGAATTATCGTATAACGACAATACATACACACAATTATTTCAGTTAATTACTCAAATATTTTGGTTAAAATAAATTTTCAAATTGAAACTATTCCTGTAAATTAAATAAAAAATTGGAGTAATAAAATATTTATGCCTTCAGAATAATCAATTTCTTTTGAAAACCTTAATTAAGTTAAAAAAATTACCTCATCACATTAATTCATATTTTTAGCTTTTATTTTTAAAAGAAAGTATCAAATTTTTTTTACGCTGTATGAAAAATAATTATTTCAATTCCTTCATTTTTACAAGGATTTTTCAATTATTTCTATTTTAGAAAAAATATGTATCTTCCTTCAAAATGCTTACAATATCTTTAGAAAATAAAACATTACATATATTTTATAATGAGCAACTTTTGAATGAAAATATTTTCTTCATAAGAGTCTTTAAAAAAAATGAGAAACATTTTCATTAAATTTGTGTAAATATTTTCCAGAATTATGAAAATGAGGGGAAAAATATTTTTAAATAAAGCCCATGATACAAAGAAACAAATTTATATTCACTACTATTTTCGTATAGTTAATTTTTCTTTTATAATATCAAATCATATTTATTAAAACTTTAAATTTTGGCGGCTGAACTTCTTTTTAAAGTATCTTAAATTTGTCAGGAAAAATTCCGATATTTTCCTATACTCTTGCTACTATCACTGTTATTTGTGCATATCTCAAATTATTCACCTGCTTTTTATTTGTTTCCTAATTAATTTTATCATATATTTTGCTATGTACTTATCCTTTCATGCTACGCTTCATTACTATCATAACTTATGCATCTTGTAACTTTTTATTCCTAATTTTATAAAAATTTTAGCAAACTCGATTCTGTAACTCAGCCGTTGGTTTATTTATTTTACAATTTTTTTTATTCAATTTATGCGCTTCTAATAAAGATATGAGTTTTTAATAAAGATAAAAGTACTATGAAAATTATTAAATTTATTGTCACTCTAAAATGAAGCCTTTTTTCCCCTTAGTACAAAAACACATTTACAAACTTAAGGTAACGTAATTTAGCACAATTCATCTATTTTAATACGAACGAATAAGAGAAAATGCAGGATAAAAAAAAAGTGAGATGTGTATTTTAAATTTATATTCTGTTTCAAAAGGAGACACAGAAAACTTTTTGTTATTATTTTTAAAGTATTCATTAGTCTTTAAAATTTCAAAAGAATTTTTGAATTGATCGAATCATAATTGTCTCATTTGTAGCAACTTGTTTTTTTTATATTTATTTTTATTTAATTATTTTTGTTTACACAATTGCTTTAATTGCTTGTAATTTGCTTTAAAAGTTCAAACATTTATTCTTAGATTGTCATGCATTCTGTGTGTCTGAAAACTGTATGACCTATTTTTTTCTCTGTCCCTTGCAGAATGGTAATACTTTTATCTTATTTGGTAATAAAAATGTTACTTTTGCTGCGATAACTGATCGTAAGAGTTTTGCTTTATTATAACATCTATTAATTGTTTTAGAGGAAAGTTGCTTTAAAACTACTTTCTTTATTTAAAGTAAATTATTAAATATAAAAATTATTAAGATTATCTTATTTGACTCAATATCTTGAAATACATGAAGTCTTTCCTGAATCAGGAATAAATAAACAGATGGTCTTTAAATTGTTATATAGTTATGATATGAGAATGTCAAAGTAGATGCTTACTGTTTAAATTATACAAGCAATATATTTTTTATTTTACAAATCATAAAAAGTTTTCTACTATCAAAATTGTGTTAACCTAATAAATTTGCTTTAACTGCTACACAATTTTAACCCTTGACGACCAAAGCTGCGGAAATGGCTAACACGCATAAAGGAATTATCGTTTGGGACATAACATTTACAAAAAAGTGTCAAAGCTAACTACGATTGTTTGGACGTAAATATTATTGGCACAAAAACTGTAATTCATTACATCAAATTTAATCATTGATATCAGTCTCAAAAAAGGAAAAAAGGAACAAATTAAGGTATAAAGCTAACAGCAACAATCTCCACATCTTGACACACATACAAAAAGAAAATGCTTGAAACTCATAAAGTGTGCAGTTACTTCAATTAAAGGATTTAAAAACTAAACAATAAGGTACAAAAGCCTGCTGCATTATTAAATATTCCTGCCACATACTTGGTAAAGATACCATAAATTATTTGACATAAATTTATGAAAATAATTAAAAAGCTATCGATATATCCTACTCACAGAAGAGGAAGAAAAAAATTCAGATATTAAACAAACTAAATCTTTTCGGAAACGAGATAAGAATTGTAAAAGAAGTTTAAAACTAAATAGGAAACAAAAAAAAACTAAGAAATAAAAAAGTGTTTCTGAAAGGCCGATAATAAAGAGACTGATAATACACAAAAACTTATGAAGCACCTAAATTTATTCACACCTCATGTTCACTCATGCGTTTTTTAAATCGTATGCTCCAAGTGAAACATGCTCGAAATAGTGTTCGAAGATTCTCGCGAGAAAATGCGAGACCCGACTTGGCGAATTTCAAAATACGGTGCCAAAGAGGTGCCCGGGAGTCGCCAATGTGGAAAGTCGCTGCCTGGCAGACTATGAGGAGGACAATTAGATCTTCCAATCCTTCACTGAAAATCTGAACTGGCAAACAGCATTCCTGAAAATGTAGGAACAATTGCCACATGAACTTCGAAACTGATTTTTTTCCAATATGAAATTACGTTGTCAGATAGGCAGCTGTAAAATGGGGCTTTACTATCATTCGACAATCGAACAAAAAAAAAAAAAAAATACTGACCATTTTCTTATTTGATCTGATTGACCACTATTTCATTCCTCGTGGCTTCAATGAGCGTTAGTGACATAAGATCACGTGCGCGTATTATAAGCGTTGAATGGTTATTTTACTTGTATTACATCAATCTATATTCATACCGAATAATCACTCAGTAGTTCTGGAATAATTCTGAAAATTTGAAAACCAGTGAGAGTATTTTAAAGAGAAAAAGTCACCTTGAGAAAACGTTTTTGCAAGGATCTGGATAGGACTTGGTTCCAAACTCTGTAAAGACAGGTCTATTGACTAGTGTCATCTTCTGGTATGCTACAGTATCCAAAAACTTTGACATAACATCAACCTGTAATAAAATCACATTAGTTCTGCGACTGGAAAGCAGGGATTAGTGGTCCGTTACTAATTTTTGACTCGAACCACTTAAAAATAATTATGAAAGGTACCCGGATCAGCGACTGATGTAGAGGTTTGTTTGATTTTCAGTTTCTTCCTTTGGTTTGTTTTATTGTCAAAAAATAGAATATTTCTTCAGGATTGCACCATGAGGAAGTGATCTTGGTGTAATTTGTTAGCATTAGGATATTTCGAAATCATTTCTTCTGTATTCGAAAGTTCATAGTTTAACTAAACTTACTTTTTTCTATACTTATACATTTTAAATTACTTATGTAGGTGAAAGAGAATTTTTCATGAAGGATTTTTCCCGCAGTATATTATTCTGCAAAAAAGACCGACCTATTCGATAGTATATTTGATGTCTAATTATGGAAGTTATAAAAGCATAAAGTCCAAATTACACCACGAATCACTGAAATTGGAATGTATAAGTTATTAAAAATTTTTTATCATTTATTGCAATTGTTAATAAATGTTACCTTTTCCTTAATAAGTGAATCATTTATTCTTAAAGTTTTAAAATATTATTGCATATTTGATTGATTTAAGGTAAAATTCAAGGTTATAAATTAAGGCTCTGATCTAAATCAAATGATTATTATCGAGTCTCGTGAATAGACAAAAATAAAAATGAAATACTACCACGAAAGATTTCAAGAGTTTTCGAAATCTTTAAAACCAAGTTGATTTTGTATTTAAAGCAAATTATTTTTAAGACTTAAAAATTCTTTTTAGTATGTTTTTAAAACATTTCTTTTATTCCCTTCTCAACTACCTAGCCCAAAAGCTATACAGTGCTTAACTCAAAGCGAAATTTATTTCGATATTGCATACTGAAAGGTTAACAAAATTAAAATGTGTGCTTCAGAGAAAAGGTATAGAAAAGATAACGAGGTATAGAAAAGTATAAGTCACTAGGGAACCTGCAAAACCAGTGATTTATGTAAAAGCAATAAACTTTCCAAGAGTGAATCACTGTTGAAGAAGGAGGCTTTATTATCAATAAAATAAAAACGTTCTGCTTAATTGAATACGATAACAAATAGATGAAATTGATGATATGGAAAATCTGTCTCCCCCGGAATATTTTTTAAAAGAAAATAAAAGTTGATTATGCGTTTGAAGGTTTCGAAATGAAATCAAAAGAGATTAGAAATTATCAGATTAAATAAACATCACACTTCTGAAAGCAATTCAGTCATTATTGATAAAATATGATACATATTTATATAACTGAATATCTGCAAATATAGTGATATTAAACTCGATAATCTGACAAATGCTCAATTGTTTTGATACAAAAAACTTTCGCATTAAAATATATTGTTCTGTTATGTTTTTTAAGTCTTTTTCTTGAAAAGTATGATGTAAAAGAAGTGTGGTTACACATTGTAGCATATCAAGCTACACTGAAGAGCTAAAAAAAACTGGTATAGCTGCCTAATATCGTGTAGGGCCTCCGCGAGCACGCAGAAGTGCCGCAACACGACGTGGCATCGATTCAATCAATGTGTGAAGTAGTGCTGGAGATTGACACCCCGAATCCTGCAGGGCAGTCCATAAACCAGTGGGAGTAAGAGGGGGTTGGGATATCTTCTGAACATCACGTTGAAAGTCATCCCAAATATGCTCAATAATGTTTATGTCTGGGGATTTTGGTGGCCAGCGGAAGTGTCTAAATTCAGAAGAGTGCTCTTGGATCAACTCCCAGACATGAACATTATTGAACATATTTGGGATGCCTTGCAACGTAATGTTCAGAAGATATCCCCACTCCCTCTTATTCCCACTGGTTTGTGGACAGCCCTGCAGGATTCATGGTGTCAATAATCTCCAGCACTACATCACACATTGATCGAATCCATGCCACGTCGTGTTGCGGCACTTCTGCGTGCTCGCGGAGGCCCTACACTATATTAGGCAGGTATACCTGTTTTTTTGGCTCTTCAGTGTATATTAAGAAACAGTTCTTTGTTTCATTAAAAAAACATTTATTTCACACCACAACAAATACAGTAACAAATATAAAGTACCCGTAACGGGATGCGTATTGACAAAACATACCGTAGATTGTAAAGGGGTTGGCGAAAATATCTATCGGCGTTGAAGGAGCGTCTCGCAAATCGCCAAACAGCTGTGTGCTTATGTTTTTGTTTTGTTTTCGGTATCACGTATCTATCATTCACCAAGTTATATATGGGTGTCACATTTCAGAGTTTCAAATAAGCTGATCTTCATTAGATTCTTCTGCATTAAATGAAATATAAAGCGTATTTTTTTGTTATAGCTCCGACATAATCGTTTGTATTTGTTAACATAATTGTGTTTATTAGCGTTTTTTAGAAGATCGTAATAAAACTAAGATAAAAAAAATTATATATTATTACCTCCATAGCCCCCTTCTGTATTTTCATAACTTTCATTAAATGTATACGCGTATTTCGAGTAGTGAACTTCTTTACCTACTCATCCACTTATTAAAATTAATAATTTCACAATAACCTCTAATCCTTAATAATGAAATGATTATTACAATAAAGTTTGTTTACTTAAAAGATTTAAAAAAAAATTATTGTTCAGCAGTGACTTTGTTACTAATTCTATATTCATTAATTAAACTTAATGGTTCTGCTCGATAACCATTTACAATTTTTTTTAAATTTTATTTAATTTTCAGTTATTATGGAATTCCTTAAATATTTTTCGACGTAGAGGTTATTTAGCAATAATGCGAAAAGCTGAAATTTATAAATGTATAATATTTATAAATGTTTAAGAGAATTATTAGCAGCTATTTTGTACTAATTATTTTAGTTGAAATGTTCATTATACACAGTTTTATAAAAATAATCGTAAAATTCATTGAACGATGGAGACATTGACATTTTAAAATGCAAGTAGAATTCAATAATCATTTCATTTTATAACTGTAAAACGGTAGATAAGTAACTTCGTTATCAAGTTTTACATGATACGAGAATATTATGCTATTGCTTTATAATGAAAGAACAACATTTTAAGTTCTAAACTTTTTGTGGAAAAAAAAAAAAAAAACGAAATTTTTTTCCTGTCATCGGTGTTAGCGATTAGAGAGTGTTTTATCGTATAAATGTTAAGTCAGTACTGTTCCATTTTAAATAAAAATGCATTTTGTTCCGGAAAAAAAATTACTTGAATTTGTCAATAGAAATTCCCTAATTATTGTAGCAAGAACTTTTAAATTTCTAATCAAACTTTCCTCTATTATAATTTTGTGCAAATAATTATTATTAATAATATAAATGACTATTAAAAGGAATTAATTGAGAATGTTCAATTTTAATAAATTAACTGTTTACGCAATCAGATTAATAACTTTTTTCATAATTTACAAATGGAGAAAAAGTCTTTTACAGTTTAAAAGTGAAAAGAAAAATAAAGTTGAGATTAAATTTATAAAGTAAGCATAACTCGAAGGAGGTTGAAGTAAGGGCATTAGACGAAGTGATTGTGTTTTTTTTAAATATTATTTAGAAAGAATTTTTCTAAAAGTATTTCTTTTAAAGTTTTTATCAAACTTTTGTTTTTTATTTATCTATAGTTATTGAAAGTTAAGTTGATGATTTTTAAGTTGAAATGAATGCCGCCCTGCTTTGCATATTTCAAATATTATTTCTAAAGAAATGTATAACTTAACATTAAACACCCAGGACCTTACAATTGTAAATCAAACAATCACTACATTTATTTATTAAAAAACACTCTTATGACCTGATAATAAATTGATCTAAATCTTAAATGTGAGTTTTATAACATATAATTTATTTAAACTCAGCACATACATCTAACCTCTGTTGTCGCCAATGTCTCAATTTTAAAATATAGTTTTTCTTTTATAAATTTTCTGATATTTTCATATAAAGGATAGTATTAAGTTCGAGAATTAAAAATTTGTGCCCAAAAAAGTTGCTAAAAATTATAATTATTATTAATATATGACAACAGGAAGTTTTTAATTGAAGGTTGAAATTTTTTTTAATTATGTTATTTTTTAATTATGTTATTTTTTAATTATATTTTTAATTACCAAACTCATATAACAGTATTTAGGAATCTATAAATTTATGTTACGTATGATAGTTGCATTATAACCTGTACGCAATGCGTGTAAATAAAATATATTTTTAAAATTGTGCATTTTCTATTAATTGCATTTATTATTCTTATATTGAAAAGGTATCAAGTTATCTATGACCTCCATAATGAATGAAGTATTTACCGACTTTTATATATATTAAGGAATTGAATCAATTTTTCACAAAGTTTAAAATCTCATCTCATTCCAAAAAAAAGTTATTTCATAAAATTATGCAAAAAAGTAATTTAATATATAATTTTTTTATAATGAATGCTTCTAGTAATGAAACAAACGCTTTCAAACTTTATTTTAAAAATATTGATTATTTCGTTTACAAGAAACTATTACTTTAAAGCGTGATAACATTTTTGAATACTCTATTTTTTTTCTAGTAAATAATATGTCTTTGTTAATTTCTAAAAAAATAATCTTTATAAAAAAGCTTACATTATTCTTTTATAGAGAATATTGATTTCATAGAAAATATCACTAAAATAAAACAGGTTATGTTTTCTTACAATAAAAGTTAAATAGAATTAATTCTTCAAAATAGCGTTTCAATAAAACATAGTATTAAAATGTTACGTTATTTTTTGTGATTGGTTCATTAATAAATTATTTTTATTTCTTCGCAAACACAATTCTTGTAAAAAAAATTAAAAAATTGAATCTGTTTTATCAAAAAACTAGATCGTTTTATAAAATATAAATTATAGCGCTTAATAAAATATGAATACAGTGTATTTGTAAAGTGATCCTGACAATAAAAAGGTGTTATTTTCTTTTTTATTTTCTCTGCTAAAAGGAATTAATGAGTTATTTTTATTCATAATGGCGCGTCGAGGAAAAAGAATATCGAATTACACTGCTTAGGTTAATGTAATTTCGTTCTCCCACCACATTTACGCGTAATCCATCGCCAACTCCACCTGCAATCGCCACGTTTACAATCTACGGTATGTTTTGTCAATACGCTAACGGGATAGTTAAATCTTATAAAACAAACTACAAAAACTGCCCGTAACGGTATATATGAAAACTAACCCGTAACGGGATAGATAAATTTTTTAAAATATTATAGAACATACTAGATAAACCCGTAACGGGTTGTATGAAAACTCAAATTTCAAAACTAAACTAATCTCTAAAAAAACCAAACATCTTTCTTGTTCTAAAAAGGTCTTCTAACTTTATCGTCTGCTTTTATTGAGAATTTCAATAGGTAAGGCTTAATTTAGGTTGGGGCTGGGTAGATAGCACAATGTTGGAGTGAACTGCTAGAATCTGTTAGTTGCTTGGAAAAATTTTAAGAGGGATTGGATTTTGGTCCGAGAGTTGATCACTTTTTTGGTAACCACTATGCACTCTGTTATTTTCCAGTCTATTTTATTTTCGCTGACAGCTCCGTATTTTCATAAATTTTCCTGTTTCATTTTCATTATTCAATTGGTTCTTTGACTAGGAGCGTTGTGTTCGATTGTTCGTTACATGTCGATCTAACAGTTATGAAGCAAATTGAATATCTTATTTTTAGCTTTCCAATTTAATTGGGATTATTCATTTTTATCAAAACATGTTAATTGTTGGAAGAAATGGATAAGAGGCGGATTTGATTATTCGACCGAGTTTCATTCGGCAATTAAACTAGTTTAATGTTCTTACTTCCACCTTCTTCAAAAACATCTAGTCAGATTACTTTTTAATTTTTTTCCTTACAGATACATTAATTTGAGAGCACCAATTTACCAATATTGTTTGATTTCATTTTTTACTTAAATTAACTGCATTTGAAAGAAAATGATTGCAAATAAAATTGAGACTGACCTTAAATAAGTAGGTTAACTTTTTTTTTTGTCACTTGTGACAATCTCGCAATGAATTATTAGTAATAAAGATAAGATACTGTTAATGTTTGAAACTTATCAGTTATTATAGTATAAAGATCGACCCAAAGTACAAACGCTGGATGATTTGGGTAAAACGGACCTAATTAGATAAATATTAGATTACAGATTTACTAATATTTTGCATTCTTAACCAACTATCAGATTTTAATTCCTTATCAATTACCGAAATTTAGAGGTGATTAAATATCTTTTCTTAATTATCAACTTGCGTGATATAATACTGCAGGACTTTTTCCTTCAGATAGTTTTATCTTTTTTCTGTAATTTTTTCGATATCTTTTTTTCCAGAATTTTTTTTTTTTTAATCATGTGATTCGATCGGATAAGTGTCAAAGTTTTCCAGATTTAGAACGCATTTTTCTGTGTATATTTTTAGTGCATATTTTCGAATAAAAAATACCCACATGCATATACCGTGGGTCTAAAAAATGACCGACGAATTGAAAAAGGACTGGAAGAAAAAACTTCGACGGAGATACTTTTAAAGTAACTAGAAACTGCTTAAACTAGTAACTAGAAACTGCTTAAAACAATTTTATAATTAATTTTAAATTGCCCCAAATTTTTTTTATTCCAATGAGTAGGGGAGAGTGGGGTCAATTGTAACAAGGTACGATTGTAACAGAGCAAAAATTTCGAATGTCGGGTTCTAGATTTGGTTCCTAGGTGGCGCACAAGGTGTATTTAATAAATCTACATGTACACCCCTGCTGGCAACCATTTTTATGTACTTTTGAAAGAGTTACATCACAAAAGATATTTTCACGGTACGCAAGTACTTTTTTTGGTATTAGAATATTATATTGTAGCAAAGTAATTTTGTTTAAACAAATAAAAATTCTTAACCGAATATGTAAGTGGACTCCTTAATTAGCATTTTAAAAAAAAAGATTAGTTTTGTTAATTAACTAGCATTGCTTTTAACAAATGAAGCTGAAATGGCGTCTTGGGGACGATTGCAACAATAAGTAAAGGGACAATTGTAACAGCTGAAAATAAATAATCTTATGTTTGCAAACTCTTTACTCTTACTTAACTCTTAAAGAACCACCAATAGTTTTCTATGTCATTTATATTATGTTGCATGTGCATTATTTTATTTGCCACCTTTCCCAGCATAAATTAAAATTTTTAGCCCCTTAAAGTTAAAAGTTTAACCCTTTAGGTCTCTGCTCATTATTATATTAACTCCTAAAATATCACTACTATTTTGATCAATAAAAAAATATATCACAACTATGATAAAATGTATAATTAACTAGGTTTTAGTTGAATTTATGAACTGTTACAATTGACCCCGTAAGTGGGGACGATTGTAACAAGTGCACGACTGTCAGAAATTGTTAATAACTAATATAATAACATTTAAGGTATTTTTTTTCTAGTACAGGATAGTCTACTTTACTCGTCTGTCAATTAATACTAATAATATATTGGATTTTTTGTTAGTTAAAAATAGTTAAGTAAAAAATGTTACAATTGACCCCACTCTCCCCTATTTAAAAACTTACAGCAAAGAAACTATTAATTTACATCATAAATTTAAAAGGATTTAGATAAATTTAGTTACTTACGTATCCATTTCTGATGACGAATTTATACATTAAGGCGCATCCATCCAACCAGTGATTAACAAAGAATCCATCTTCGAAATCCCATTTGGCTGGCCCAATTCTGAACAGCTGCCCTTCTACCCAATCAGGAATCTTTCCTGCAATAATAAAAAAATATTAGTTTAAAAATAGATAAGAGCATATGATTTTCAACGAAGTTCATTAAGACTTAAAAATTATAGCAAAAACTCAAATAGTTCTGGTATGATTTGAATCTTAATAGATTAAAACGATTCGTATTTTTATAAAATTTATGCCACAAAATATACTGCTGAAATCAATTAGAGGAGCAAGCAACAAAAAAAAAGGGGAATCATAGCGCAATTCCCATGTATGGGCATAAAGTGAACTATCAACATATTTGTACTAATTTACTTACTTCAGGGTACTATATTTTTCAACTGGATCACGCTCTGGTTTGAAGCTAATTGTGTAAATTTACTTGATTTGCTGTCAAAGAATCACGATCTTAATCAAATCGTAAACTCATGTGATTTACTAACCCGAGAAGATAATCAAAATGACCCACAATGTCAAAGCTAACAGAATCTTATCTTCGCTATCAAAGATGCTTGGAAAAAATTGTTCGTGGGCGCTTTCTTTCAAGCCTCTCTGCTTGAAAAAAAAATTTTCTTAGTTGAAGAAAATTTTAAGTATTATGGAACATGTCTTTATACTTTTTTCCGTATTTCCTTCAGAGTTGAATTTTTGTGAAATTAGTATTTTGAAGCTAAATATTGTTTCTTTTATGTGTCATAAATGCTTTTAAAAAATTGTGTAACAGAAGCCAAACATAAAAAAATATCATTTAGATGAAATGAAAATAAAGCATATTTTACTTCAATTTAACGTTGTCCTTATACTTTTTTCACGTACAGTACTACCAAAATCAGCCAACATATATATCATTTTCCATGTTTACTTTTTTTACAATGTTGAAAGTGGCATGCGTAATGTTTGTTAAGATAATGGCACTCTTTCTGAAAGAGATTTACTAATTTCGACATTGAATCTTTTCCAATTCACACAAGGATTATATGCAGGTGAAACCTACTTGTATTGTATTGAACAAAAAGTGTACTTAGCACTATTTAAAAAATTGGCTCTACTCTGTTGCAAGTAAAGACACTTAACGCAAACAGTGGCTTAAAACATGCCAGAGTATTACGAATATTTACATAAATAAAAAAATCCATGCCAAGTTAGAAAAGAAAGCCTTTCATTCTTATTACTATCACGCGCATTCAAATTACCTAAATAATGTTATTATTTTGTTACGTAATCGGGGCTTTTACGAAATAATAACGTTCATCTTTCTAATTATTGGGTAACGTGTTTGTCCTCATTTTCTTTGATGGATTCATCTTCATCTTGGTCAATGGCCGATTTCACGTGTGTTAGACAACAAGTGATTCGACCGCATACAACCTTCACTTCATGTTTGCACTCAGAGAACGAATAGTGAGAAAGAGAAATTAGATTCGAATTATTTTCCAATTTGAGAGACATTAAGAAACGTTAATTAGATATTGCAGTTAGAAATTAAATGAGATCTAAACGAAAGTTTTTATAAAGTAAATGAATTAATATTATTTAAATACCTATATAAAAACCATAGTTTTTATCTTTCATTATATTTTTTAAATGCAAATCTATGTTTTGTAAGGGTCAAAAAATTAAAGGCAATCAGACTTTTTAAAAAATAGATTTTCCAGTTTTTTAAATGATCCTAAAACAACAATCCCAAGGAACTGACGCGATCTTCTCATTTCTCTCTCGGCTACTGTGATTTTTTTAATTATGTTTCTCACTTTCATTTTTTCGTTGAAAACTTAACGTTTCATAATTTAAATCAATTTCGTTTCGATTCATTCCCGTCTGGAAAGTCTTGAAAATGGGCACTTGTTTTTGAGCTCTTGAAACATGTTAACTGCTATTTTCAATTTGGGTATTTTTAAAGCGAATGAAGTTTTTAATCAAGTAATGATACTAAAATATGTATTGATTAGAACAGCTTTTAAACTACGTTAATTTATAAACAATGTGAATTTGCTTCGACTTAAAAAAAATGAACTTTTGAATTGAAATTTCAAAATGTTTTGAAAGGTTAAGCCTTCCTTGGAATAACATTGTGATTAAGCTAGAAACATTACTATTATTATAAACAATACTTTATCTGAATTCTGGATTTATTTGATTTGATTAGGTTCGATTTCAAAAATTAAATAAATCGCGAGTTCAGATATATCCTAGTTATGAAAATCTTAGATCTCCAATTGTTACAAATCCAAAACTACGCTCTAAATTAGATAAGAAAAACTTACAGTTGAAGTGATAGTAACATTATAGAAAAACTCGTCGAAAAATAATGTATACAAGTGTCATTTGAATAAAAAGCTTAATTACCATTGTAATTATGCGATATCGATGTTAATTACTGTGATTTCATTTCAACATTCTGCAAAATTAGATTAAGATATCATACACCATTTTGTAATGATTTCAACTGAATTTCGTGCCTAATTCTCGATAATTATTAAATACGTTAGGAGATATATCCTTCGATTTTTTTTATTTGCTTACATTAATTAATAAGTTGAGAAATTTTTAACAATGCTTTATCTGAATTCTGGATTTATTTGATTTGATTAGAATCGATTTCAAAAATTAAATAAATCGCGAGTTCAGATATATCCTAGTTATGAAAGTTTTAGATCTCCAATTGTTACGAATCCAGAACTGCGCTCTAAATTAGTTATGAAAAACTTGCAATTGAAGTGATAGTAACATTATAAAAAAAACTCGTCGAAAAATAATGTATACAAGGGTCATTTGAATAAAAAGCTTAATTACCATTGTAATTATGCGATATCAATGTTAATTACTGCGATTTCATTTCAACATTCTGCAAAATTAGATTAAGAAATCATGCATGATTTTGTAATGATTTCAACTGAATTTCGTGCATAATTCTCGATAATTATTAAATACATAAGGAGATAAATCCTTCGATTTTTTTTATTTCTTTATATTAATTAATAAGTTGAGAAATTTTTCCATCCAGTTCTTTGAAGAAGGATTTTAAAATTCGTCTTTAAGATACTTTTTTTAAAATAGATTTACTTTTAGGCACTTTTCTTAATTTTATTGTATTTCACATTAAATGTTGATTTTTAGTATTTTTTTTACCAATTAGTACGTGAACTTATCAACCCTTCACAAAATAGTATTTTTACTAAAATTTATCAGATATGATTTGATTGGTAACTTCGCATTAGAGTTGCACTAATAGGCCATTAGTGTATTTTAATTAACTCGCTAAGTTTTATAAAATAAACATACGAAGTAACCACTCTAACGATGTGCTTTCCCAGTTTTAAGAACATTTTTATTTCGTTTCACTCAACTTATTTCAAAATATTATTGTAAAAAAAATAATTTGGTATTTCCTTCAAACCTGTCATCAAAGTATTTGGCATACTAAAATTTTTGTTTATACTATAAATTGCTTCTAGTATATTATCGAAGATATTATATAATTTAACAAATTATAACATCGAGATCAAAATAATCATGCATCATCAAATTTGTTCAATGCTGAAATCTGTCAATTTTGCAGACCCTTATCAACCATTTATTAAGAGATGGAAGCAACTTGCACACGGAAATTTTTGTTCATATTTTCGACGAAAAGAAACCAACATTTTTAATACTTTTTAAACTACTTATTGCATCTGATTTCTAGGTCCTAGCAATTTTCTAGGAGCTTATTTTTAATTATAACTTAATTATTTATTTAATTATTACTTTACTTTTAATTGAATGAAAATAACTTGGTGGAAGGAGGATAATTATTCTTAGTTTTTCTTTTGGAAAAAAAATTACAGTTGAAAAATAAGAAACTCAAACTTTCTCTGCTCATATCAAAAAGCTTTTCGTCAAAGCAATCATTATATTATTAGTTACAAATAAATTTTTTTATTACTAAGTTGTTGCTAGAACAACACGAGAATAATGTTATTGTTGTTGAGAAGGCTTATTTAATTTAATTAAAACCACTCTCACTAATAAAGAAATGTTTCCAAAGATAACATAAAACTTTGATAACATGCAAACTTTATATATTTTGAGACGTTTAATTCTAATATATATTTTTTGAAGCCACATTAATATCGTACTAATAATCACCACAATACAATTGCCATATTGACCCTTTGCGGTCATATGTCCACGCTTAGCCACCAACGCTTTTTTACCGTTACAGTCGTATGTCTGCTCTCAGCCACCGCAGCAAAGATGTTAGCCACAGCTTAATGGCAAAATACATATATTGCGGCACTGTGAAGATAAAAAGATTGTTCCGTATGTTCAAACAGAAAAATTAAAGGCGGAAGACTCGAAACTAATTATTTTTGCTACACAAGTTCTCGAAAACCAGGGCTTCATATTGGAGACTGCTTTGAAAGATACCATACAAGGGAGAACTATAAAATATAATTTTTTACATAAAATTAAAACATATTGTGTTACACATAGCTAAAGTTCAAAAAAGAATTAAGAAAATTTTATTTTTCCATAAGAATCTTGCATAGAATGTATTACTGTTCGTTCAACGAAAAATAATTCCGACCAGCATGACGCCCACATGTAAACTTAATACGACCGCAAAGGGTTAATAAAGACTCACAGTTTTTCTTTTAAATACAAAACAGGGAAAAAAAATAATGTAGTTATCACGATATCCCCATGTCATAATCGGAAGTGGCTGTTTGTATTCATGAAGTGTAAGGTTCAAACCCCGAGTCAGCCAGAATTTAATTTTTGTTTTCTAAAATTTCTGGTGATTCCCTGATTTAAATCGTGGGTAGGGGAAATGCAGTATAATTAAATCAAAATTTTTGTCATAATGATGAAGCTACGAAGGAATTAAACTATCTTTCAATGAGATATACACGAAAAGATCACATACTGCATGTTTAACCCGTTAGTTTGTGTTTAATCAGTTTTCATCAGGATCACGTCAGACAGTTTTTCTGATTTTCTTAATCTTCATTACGTCGATCCACATTATATAGACCTTCGCTTCTTAACTTCTAAA